CTTCATTTTATATTTTAGTTTCAATTAACTATTTGCTATTTGTTACATATATATTTAATTCGAAGAAAATATATACAATAATTACATTTCGTTCAGTACTTAATTACCTTCCACATGTACGCTTGAAATGATTATATTGAAACTATGGATTAAAACTTAAAAACTCGATTTAAAAAAAAGTGCTCACTCTTCGATTTTAATATTTATTGCAAAATGGTCCTGAAATGTTCCAAAACCAATTCCAGAAGGAAAATCAGAGGTGCAGGAAAGTCAGGGTTGAATTCAATCGAGGACCACCGTGATTTTTTAATTATTTTGAGAAAAAACTGATTCTTAATTTATAAATAGTCTTAAAAATAAAAAATTATCTGGAATTTTTTAGATGAATTGTCAGATAAATTTATCTATATTATCTAGATTAATTTAAATGTAATCATCTTTATCTTATCTAAGATAAATTTCCAAATTTTCATCTTATCTTTATCTAGCTAATTTTAAAATCATCTATGCACAACACTGATTTTGAGCTATATTAAAAGAAAATTGAGACTACTGGCCTTTTAGGCGCGCCGCCATTTTGAAAACTTCAAAACTGACAAACATCGTCGTAAACCGGTCTGATCGAAAAAAAAGTATTCTTACGTGAAAGAGCGTTCAATTTTCTATAAGAAAACGTCTACATTTCATTTTCAAACTTGCCTCTCATGCCCACTAATGACAAAGGAAAAGAGCGCTGCGACGAGAAAGCCCAAAAATTGGGTGGCCCACTTGGCATGGAATGCCAATTTTATGAAAAATTTATGAGCCTAAACATTATTTATCAGTGCATCATGTTTGATATTTTATTAAATTGTAAAATATTTTACTTATTTAAATATCATAATTATCTGCATATCATCTATCGCGGTCATATAAATTAGTTATATTTTTAAACATATTTATGTATTTTTTTGCTATCAGCAAAATGTGTAGCCAAAATGATTGAATCGATTGCTGTTATGGAACCACAGTCCTGCAGATACATGCACGTGTGTTCATTTTATCATACAACGCAAGCATTTATGTCCAAATATTAGGTGTCCATTTAAGACCTAAGTTATTTTTAATTCTTAATTTTATAGTAGAATATAATGCATGTATATAAAAATATATACTAGAAAATATTTTTCGATACATTTGTTCCATTTATATATAATAATTAATTTTTTTACACAGTGCCACATTTTGCCCGAGTGAAAGTTTGGAAGAATTGCGAAGTCAATAATACCATTTTCGTCTGGTATCACTCTGAATCAGCTGAGCCAGACTGGCAACCCCAGCCACATACATGCATCTCCAACGGGTCTTGGCGCTACCAAGGTCGCAATGAGTATCTCATTAACTGCCACATACAGGTTTGTCGCATGTATGCCACATACAGACTTAATTCACTAATAGGATAGAAAATATGCTCTATTATGCAAAAACCACTCGAAAAAAAAACGTTCTCAGTGAAAGAAAAAATCAAATTACTTATTAATGTTTATTTGAAAATATTGTAGAGAATCATAATTTTGAGTCATGGACATAGAGTATTATTTTAAAAAGAAAATTACGGTTCTAGTCTCTTATTCTTTCTACTTCCGAAAAATAAATTCTGTGTTCCAAATAAATAGTAAATTACTAAATTTAAGTTGTGATCCTATGTATTAGGATATAACCGAGAACGGCCCTGATGTCGAGCATCTCAACGCGCTGCATGGTCCAGCTATATTTCTTTCCGGCAAGTTTTCCTGGTTAGCTCGGCACGTGTGGACCACTTATACGAAATGGACGCCGAATTTTTCAGATGACAACCAGACGGATGAGAATGAAGAAGCAGCAAAGATAGGCGCCAAATTGAACGATGTGTCAATCCACTCAATCACGAATGACACAAGGAATGGTCACTTTACAGGAGCGCAGAACCGAGACAGAAGAGAGAAGCACAAGGCTACTGTGCACCTGTGCCATAAGTTGATGATTTTAGAACGTTTTAGCATAATGGAGTCTGATGTATACGCCGAGCAAATCGGACCTGGCATCATCGAGCTAAATGTTAAGACATTGTTTGGGTCTTTGTACATTTTGTTAACAATAACGCCGATCGAACCGCTGCTGCAACGGGTGATCCATCAGTTCTACTCGCCACCTCTGCTGGCACCATACGCTAACTTACATTTCCTAGGTGAATGCGTGATGTTTGAGCGCGACATTAGGATCTGGAACTCTAAGAGATTTGAGCGACATCCAATCTTGACGCGCGAGGATCGCACCATCCAGATATATCGCCGTTGGTACTCACAGTTTTATTCTGATCATAGTCCCACCTACGAAACGTCTATGAAAGATTTACAATGGTAGCAATATTTTCTTTTTGAAATATAACTTGTATACACTTTCTGTTGTGTATCTGTAGGTTTTAAAATTATTACTTACATATGTAATTTATGCGCAATTCTTATGTTAAAGTATTCGATATACGTTAATTGTATAACATAAATGAGAGTATTTGGTATTAAACAAAATTAAAATATTTATCAGAGCGCCTATATATATTTATTAATGCTTCATAGATTTCATGTATTTGCAATCAACAAAATTAAAAAAAGGGAAAGAGGGCGCCATGTCGGCACACAAAAAACCGTTACATATATTATTACAAAATAATATTATACAATTGTGAAAGGAATATGATTTCTTGCCACATATATAACATACATTTTATTTCATTTTTTTTTTGTATGGTGTAATAATAATGTGTATATTACGGTTTTTTGTAAGACGAACACAGACACTTGGCGCCTTTTTTCCCTTTTTTAAAAAAGATAATTTTGTTGAAATATCATACGCATTTTGTAATGTTAAAATCTCTTATAAATCTATATACATATATTATTCTATATACATACATACTATTATATTATATGTATATATATATATGTTATTCTTATTATGTATATTCTTTTTAAAAACGTATTTTTGAGATAATTTTATGATGTAAATTTTAATATAAAAATGTCGAGGATATAATAATTTTTGAATTAATCGCAATTAAATTTCGCTAATCACAGAGCTAATATTTCGCGCGCTCAGGCATGACGATATGACAAGTGGTGAATGTGCTATGAGGGCTTCTTTAACGTGCGATATTTTCTAGAAAGTTGAAAAAGAAATACATTTGTACATTTTTAATGTTTAATTACATATACGTGTGCATAATTAATATGCGTAATTAAAATCGGAATAGTATATCGTAAAATATCAATTTAATAGCAAGATGTTACAAATAAATGTGATGTTAAAATAAATTCATAACTATAATATGTTCATTTGTCTCATATGGTAAACATTTGTATTTACATCATAAATTTACATTATAAAATAAGATATACTAACGAGTGCCATCTGACGTCTAAATATGAATCAGACAACATTTCTGAGGACGATAATGATGATGATGACGTATCTGACATCGAAATTTGACAGTTCATACTTCGCATCGCAATATTTCCATTCGTAGGTTACATAGGCCATAAAAAACGATTTTATTATAAAATTTAAACTTCTGAGTAAATTGAGAATATCGAGAAGTCGATTAATTTAGTTATTTATTATGAGATCCGATAATCTCGGGTGCTCGGAACTTATCGACTCGCGTAAATATACGGTGCGGTCTCGCTTCGCGTCACTTGGCGCGAGACATTACCGTGTCTCTTGATATACAATTTATGTACATCAGATGACAATAACGAATAAACAATTAGCAGTTCGTCACTTCATTCTAATCGTTATTTCGTATAGTTTCACTTATTTAGACGAAAATATCGAGAGAAAAGTAGTAATAATGTGTATTTGGGTAGCCTCCCTCGACCCTCAATGATCTTGACGGTGACGTATGTTATCAATGTCATGACCCTGAGTGGCCTCCGACAGAATTTAGCAGGCGGTCGTAATCCATTTAAAAGTTATTTAAAAAATGGTTTTTAAAGTAGCGTCTAATTTCTGCTACGTATAATATTGAAAACTATACTATACTCTTCTCCAGTTTACATTATGGCTTTCCAAACGAAACGAAGTCCATCCATTTATATTCTCTACTTCGGGGCATACGAATCTAATAAGAAAAAGTGTGACTCTGAACCGACAAAAGATGCTACGTCATAAGGACGTTTTCAAAATGTCGCTTGGAGAACCACGGTCTGTGGGACTTTTTTATTATAATTAAGATGCTTGAAATGTTAATTTAATATCACTTCTTTTTATGGCATTTTGTTTTTTATTTGCAAAATACTGACTTGACGCCTTTGTTATATTGATAATTGTGTTTTAAACTGATATTATACCAAATATTCATTTATAAACTAACAGTAAACATACATTTTCTAGCGCTGTGTCGATGATTATTATTAACAATGACATACGAGTAAAATCGTATATCTCAACAATCTGCAACTCCTGGTCGCGACTTTTGGCTGTGGCAATTGTAGCTGTTTTTCCCATGTAGGGTAGTTATTATTTTTGTCTTTTTAAATTTATATCCTTTATTTATCTGCCTTGCAGAACGCAATCCCTTCTACATAAATAATTGCATTCTCTCCTATAGATCTATGAAATCTTTGTGTATGTACATAATATATTATACATGTTTCAGTAATCAATAATCACACTTTTATCTTTCATATGTGTTAATTAGCTCGATATATCGGGCGCTTGATAATTCCTCCGACAATGCTTATGAGCAAATAGAACTCACTGAACTGAAACGAAAAGTTGTCTACTATTTTATAATTTTTGCAATAATTTTGAAGAGATATTAATTACTAAATATCGCCAAATATTAGTTTTCAATAATTTTTTTATTAAAGTACTATCAACTTTACAAAGAAACAGCAAAAAATAAAAATTATTAATTTTTTTCTCATAGAATTATAGGTAAAAGAATCCTTCAAAAATTTTCATCCACATTTTACTACTGTATTTTCTTATTTCTGAGTATTTTTATGAACATGAGAAGATGCGATACTAAAAAAATTTGAAAAAATTTTTATAACTTTTTGAAAAAAAAATAAACAATTTTTGTCACATGTTATTTTTTGGAAAATTGACAGTATTTGAGTAAAAGATTATTGAAAATTAATATTTAACGATTTTAGTAATTAATGGATTGTTAACTATTGCAAAAACTATAAAGTGGTAGAATTCTCTCTCTCTCTCTCTCTTTCTTTGTATAATGATATAATAAACTATTGAAAAAAATTAATATTTAAAAGTTTATATAAGGATGTATTGGCGCAACGTTCTAGCATTGACAAAACCTTGAAAATTTAATAAATTATTTCTATTTATTATCTTAACACATGTGCAAAACCTGAAGTCGATTCTCTAACTAGTTCACGAATTATTCAACTTTTAATTTTACATGAGTTCTTATGGAAAAGCAGCATATTCCTACTTATATCAACAAAATAATAAAGAAACAGCATTGCCAATATTCTGAAACTTTATTGTAAGTAAATAAAATACTGAACAATGTTTCTAAAAAAAGTTTATATCGATTCACTAACCCGTTATCAAGATATTAATTAATAAAGCAACGCAAAATTTCGAATTGGTTAGAAGTCACACTTCGACTCGCATTCAACTATCATACGTACGAGGTACGCAAGAGGTACTAACTTAGAGTGGAGTGCGGTGTTGCCGCATTTACTACATGATATCAGGCATCTTATTTTGAGTTGTATGAAGTGTTAAAAAGGCAAATATTATGTTAATGTTTGTTTACATATTTTGTGGATTTTTAAGTATTTTTCGACGTCTCATATACATTAAATGTTATCACAATATGTGTTTCGTTTTTTCGTTTCTAGCAGTTGATTTCAGGTGAAATTCACGTCCAAAAATTTTTTGCCGACAATCACAAAACTTGTAAAATATACAAATATATTCATTTGTAGTGTCAAATATTGTATTAACTGGCATTATTTAAGTCCTTTACACGAACATGATATGGTGCATATCTTAATTTATAAAAGCATAGAATTTCATCAATTTCAAATTTCAGTCACTTTTGTCTGGGATTGTATAGCCAGAACATTCTTAAGATGAAAGCGCATTTTAACATTGCATATCCTTAAGATAAAAAGCATTTTAACATTGCATATAATGCAATAACATCGTTGAAACGCATTATTGCTTACATAGTATTATATAAAAAGAATTAAGATTATCATTTTGTTTTTGCGCAATCGCCTTTATCTCGTTCAACAGAGCATGATATTCTTATATAAATTGCATTCTATTGCCTGCATAAATCGCATTTTCATCTGCGGTTGAACAGATACAAAGTGAACTCACAAGGCATGCTAAATAAGAGAAAGTTGAAAAAAAGTTGAGAAAATCGAATTGGGATAGTAATGTTGACAATGTTGGAATGGTGCATCGGAATTGTGACTATCCTAATGATTATCCTCATATACTTTGCATATATCTTCAAATTCAATTGGGTGAATGTTAGTGTTTTGACTTTTATTTTCTGAGAATTTTCTACAAAATGTGTTAAGATATAACTACATATATACTTTTTAAAGGATTTGAGAACTGAGATTAAGACCCGCAGCTTTTACGAGAGTAACAAAAATCGAAAGGTAGGCAAAGAACTACCACCGGTCTATCCAAACGGATGGTTCGCTTTGCTTGAAAGTTCACAAATAAAAAGTGGTCAGGTGAAACACGTGTCTGCTCTTGGCGAAAATTTTGCAGTGTTTAGGTACGTTAGATCGGGATACAAAATTTTCTTTATTTTTTTATATATTTTGAGACATCTAGAGATAAAACATGTTGTATATTTATTATCTACGAACGTTTCTCCAATTTCTTTAAGAACCGAAAAAGGCGTTGTGAACATTTTAGATGCATACTGTCCCCATTTAGGGGCAAATATGGCCGAGAATGGCCGTGTTAAAGGAGATTGTCTGGAGTGTCCTTTTCATAGCTGGACGTTTCGCGGAGATAATGGCTATTGCGAGAACATACCTTATACTACAAAAGGTATCAAGTTTTACATAATCTTAATTGAGTTTTAGACTTATTCATTGAACAAATAAGTCAGATAACGTTTATTAGTGTGTATATCGCACAAAATATATTAATTTAAATAATTAAGAGATGAGCAAATATGATGTTTGAATAAGTGAAACACTAAACAATTTTATAAAATAGCAAATGTAGTACATTAATGTATAATACATTTTAGCCCAAGAGATTTTATCAATTCATAAGAGAGAGAGAGAATAAACATATAAAAAATATTTAAAGCAATATTAAACTTTATAAAAAATGAGATAATGAAAGATCAAATTGTAGGTAAACAATGTAATTTTTATCGACATTCGAATGTACTTAAAGCACATAATGTTAAACTATATAAAGCTATTCTCAATTAGTCATTTTTTGCAAGGACACGCTAGCAGTAAAAGAGACTTTTATATTTAAGAGACATGATATAGTGTCTCGGCGCTATATAAGACAAAGTGCAGCGAACTACTGCATAAATGAATATCAGTCAATAGAAATTCCTTTCCTTTGATACTTTGATCTTACCATTTTTTTTATATTTTTGACAATGTCTCCTAGGCATTGGCTTATTAACGTCATTCCTTATTAAACAATGTATTGGTTATTAAGATTATACATCTTGATGTTATTTGCATACATTTTTTGTTGGACATTTTATGCTTTGTTCTTTAATTTTTATATTTTATACAAATGGAGATTATTGTTGGATTCACACTGCATCCGACATTTGTCGTACGAAAACTCTGCAACCAATTAAAAAACAAGATTTCGTTTTGTATCTTTGATACGATTTTACTGATTGGTTGCAGAGCGTCATATGACGCATATTGGATGTAGTGTGAATCCAGCATATCTGAATATGACTTTTTGTTGTTGTAAATTTCTTTTATATGTTTAGTTACGAACTAATGAAGAATTTGTGAGCCGAAACATTATATACATTAATGTATATCATATTTATTATTTTATAAAATTGTTAAACATTTTACTTATTTGAATATTTTAATTATTTGTTTATCTCTCGATCGTTTATCATAAATTAGTATATACCATGCTGTGTTTAGGCTGCGTTTGTTTTCATGTTTATCCACTGCAAGCTCCATTCTACTTCTTTTCTGCAAATACTGAGCGATAATGATATAGGATGAAGCTTATAGTTTATGTAAGCATGAAAAATGAATACTTTTGGATGCTCTGTTTATTAACAACAGTACAGAATGGTAAAGGAACGGAAAAGCAGGAGCTGAAAGATCACGTCCGAACAAAGCGACGTCAGTACTTTTTTATTAGACAGATTACGGCTCGTAACGTGTTCTTCGTTTGATTTCTCCAAAAACAATATCAACGGGCATAGAATGTCGGCACAGAGCTAGCATAACAATACTATCTATGTATTCTTTTGTTATCAGCATATGTAACCAAAATGTTCGAATTAATTGTATTTTAAGGAACCTGTTTTATCGTTGTTATAATAGTTATTTCATACAACGCAAGCATTTGTGCCAAATATTAAATGTTCATTTAAGGCCTAGGGCAATTTTATATTTCTTTGTTGTGTGTGTGTGATTTTATATTAGAATAAATATACACTAGGCAACAAAATTAACGCAACACCTGTTCACATCACTCTGCAAAAATAGGCAAACTTCAAGATAGAATAACTTCGTCAAAAATCATCGTATCGAGATGTTTAAAAAAGCATTTTATAGCTTGAAACCTCTACTTTTCAGATCGCTACTTGAAAAAGTGGTCTCATGGAGATTTTATGAAGTTACACAAACATAAATGAAAATATATCAGATCTCAAAATTTTTTTACGAAATTTGCAGAGTTCAACGGGGCGGACTAAAAATTGTACGCAAATGCGATTTACATCATTCGAAAGAGCGAATCTTTACCTTTAATTTGCTTTCTTACGAAACTCCGTACGATTTTTTTTCGCTGAGTTATTCAACGTTGTAGTAAAAGAGTCATTTTTGCTTCAACGTTGAATAACTCGGTGAAAAAAGATGTGTACGAAAAATATTCTCGCTGTTTTCTATCTATACATATATAATTGTTTATTTTTTATTCACAGTGCCACATGTCGCTCGAGTGAAAGTTTGGAAGAGCTGCGAAGTGAATAACATTATCTTCGTTTGGTACCATTCTGAATCAGCTGAGCCAGACTGGCAACCCCAGTCGCGTACATGTATCTCTAATAGGTCTTGGCGTCACCAAGGTCGCAATGAGTACCTTATCAACTGTCACATACAGGTTTGTTGCATATATGTCACAGACAGATTTTATTCTCTGATATGATAAAACATATACTCTATTACGCAAAAACCACTCAGAGAAAACTAGAAAAAAAGATTCTCAATGAAAAAAAAATTTAAGTTAATTATTAGTGTTCACTTGAAAGTTTTCTGACAAAAATCATTTTTTTAGAATCATGGATGGAGAAGAAATATTAGAGAGAAAATTACCATTCTATTCTTTTATTCTTTTACTTTCAAAAAATAAGCTCTACTGTTTCCAATAGTCAGTAAATTAATCAGTAGACGTATGTGCATTAGGATATAACTGAGAATGGGCCTGATGCAACACATCTCAACCCACTGCACGGTCCCGTATCCCTTTCTGGCCAATTTTCTTGGTTAGTTCGGCACGTGTGGATCACTCGCACAAAATGGCGGCCAAATTGCCCAGATGATAACCAGGCGGACGAAGATGAAGAAGCAGTAGAGATGAGCACCAAGATGAACGATGTGACAATCCACTCGATCAAGAACGTCAACGGGAATCGTCACTTTACAGACGCACAGAACAGAGACAGAAGGGAGAAGCACAAGGCTACTGTACGCCTATGCCATAAGTTGATGATTTTAGAACGTTTCAGCATATTGGAGTCCGATGTACTCGCCGAGATAAACGGACCTGGCATCATCGAACTAAATATCAAGACGTCGTTTGGGTCTTTGTTCATTTTATTGACAATAACGCCGATCGAACCGCTGCTGCAACGAGTGATCCATTATATCTATTCGCCACTTCTGTTGGCGCCATACGCTAGTTTGCTATTTGTAGGTGAACGCGTGATGTTTGAGCGCGACGTTATGATCTGGAACACCAAGAGGTTCGAGCGACATCCGCTCCTGATGCCCGAGGATCGTAACATTCAAGTATATCGCCGTTGGTACTCACAGTTTTATTCTGAGCATAGTCCCACCTATGAGACAACTATAAAAGATTTACAGTGGTAGCAATACTCCTCCCAGTATCCGGAAACAGATTGAAATAAATTGAAATAGGTTCATTTGGTAGTTGCTAAATACAAATTTTTGATTTTATGAATCCATTTCAATCCATTCAATGTTCGAATCTATGTATTTTAATTCATGACTTGGAATTGAAACTATGGAATTTCTATTTCTTTCAATCGAAAAAAATGTTTACCGAAAAAATATGACACGCAATTCATTTTAATCCATGTCGTGAGATTGAATCTACAAAATTTGTATTTCTTACAATTGGAAAAAAATTTTGCGGAAAAATTGAGTCATGCAATTTATTTTAATCCATGACATAGAATTAAAATAACGTAATTCTTATTCTTTTGATCCAATGCAGGTTTGAGAGCTTTAAATCTATTTTTGTCGATAATACATAGATTGGAAGAAAGTGAGTTTTATTCTTTTCAATCGAAAAAAAGTTTCGCTAAAAAAATTAAGCACGTAATCCGAGACGTAATCCGTTTTCATCCTTTTGACATTGTATTAAAATAACGTAATTGTTATTCTTTCAGTTCAAAATAGATTTGAGAATCTCGAATCCAAGGATGGTCCTAATAGAGATGACCTTATTTTATTCAATTAGTAAAAATTTCGCGGTTCATGAATTTATTTTCACTTGTGACACAAGTAAAAAGTTATACATTTTTATTTCAACAATGCACAAAGATTTGTTGTGAATTAAAAAATAATAAATATAAAATTACTTTTCAAAAGATTAATTATAATGTAACATATTTCACAGTTATTCCGCGATTTTGTTTTTTATGCGTTTCTGTTAACTTGCTAAGTAAACCGTTTAAATAAGCATGTCAAAGTTAAAGATATCGCAATTTAGCACTATGTGTAACTCAGTAATATCACAACGTCAACGTAACAAAAAGTTATGTTAAAATTATTGTAAAATTACAAGTAAAATTCCCGTTTCAATACATGAGAATTTATTCCACGTTTACTTCCTATCAAATATATTTTAATGATGACAAATACAAAAATATGATTATTAAATATTAATTCCTGCCGTTAATGTTTCAAATAACTGCAAGCAATTGACGTATTTAGATATTATAAAAGGAATAAAAGATAAAGAGATTTAATATATATATTTTATTGTTTCAAATATGTTTCTCTCGTGTTTTGAACTTTCCGTTAGTTTCAATTTAATTTGCTTGCCTTTTACGAAATTAATTATATTTTAGCTTTTATTTATGTATAAAGTTTATTAAACTTATGCTTATATTCTGTCTTTCAAAATCAAGTACTTATAAAAGTATTTACAAATAATGTATTGTAGGCTATTATAAAATTTCAAATGTTTTTTAATTTTATATAAAGATACAGTAATTAAAACTGAGTGATACCTAAATTTTAAGCGAAATCGTAAGGCTCGTAGAGAACAGGTTCTTTAGTTTGTTCTCTGTCTGTTTATTGCTGTTTATTCGTGTAATTTTTAAATATCGTACAAATTTTTTTCACACTTTCCAGGAGGATTTTCAATCGCATGCTGGAAAATGCGTAAGTCATGATTTCTGCTGTTTAACCACTTCTCACCGTAAAGAGTGAAGGGATTATAAGACAAGGAATAAGTCCGCTTCGGCATTGATATCGATCAAGTCATTTTTAGCAAATCTCGATAAATTAATTTGCAATATTTTTTTACTAGCGTTTTTAATAGCACTGGCTCGATAATTATTAATAACGATGACATAAAATCATATATTCCAATCATGCTGCGATCCTTGTATTTGTAAATTTTATAACAGAATTTAGCGAGGTGCGTTCTCATACAGATTATACTATAACACATGACCGAACCCCGGCAATGCTCCATCTACACACAGCACTTCACATTTTTGCCAGCACATGTAATTTCGAGTCAGATAAAAAAATAAAGGGCTATAAATGCCCTGAGAATCAAAAACACCAGCACGACGTGTTGCTCTTTTCGGACGAGAAATGACGCTTGATCCGATAAATTAATGTAACCTTGACCAAGTATTATTTAGGACTAGTCGTGACATAACAGGATAAATTAGACTAGATTACATTGATAGCATTGACAAATCGGAAGAATGAGCGAAACTTCAAAACAGTATGTTACATTGGCAATTTCCAGTCATCAAGTGAATTTTATTACTCCACAATGTTATATCTAACCTGTTCTCTCTATTGTAAAGATTAAATTAATCCTCGCGGTCATTAAAAAACGAAAATATAAAAATATTTTTACAAACTCAAAAACATTTTTAATTGTTTCTTTTACAATTGTGGACTTTGAATTTCTTCACTCTATCGTTTATATTTCTATATTTGTATCTGCATATATATATACATATATGTATATACTTACAAAGTTTTATAGTGGATAACAATGATAAATAAGGAAATGAAATTTCTTCATCTAATTTAAATTGTCATTACATATTTTCTGACTTGACACAAGTAAGAGATTAGTATTAAAATGTCTAAAAAAATTCTATGAAAATATTACATTTAAAACTTTTAAAATAATATAAAATTTATGAAAAGTATATATTAAAAACATACGTACAAATCTATAAAAAATCGTCATATTCAATTCCAATAGTTCAATAATATTATCTTTTTTTATGTTTTTATCATTTTGCTGTTTTTCTACCACATTAATACATAGTTTTTTTTATGAAGATAAGAATGGAAAAGTTCCTAACAAACTCCAATTCAGCACTACATATGACACACAACATCAGAGTATCATCATTTAAGTACATTATGACTGATTATACAATATTTTCTAAAATGACAAATAGAATTCTATGTGTACATATTTGTCCGACGCATGCAAAATAATTCCACGTTAAATCTTTTCAATGATGACAGATGAATAAAGAAAATGTGGTTATTATATAGGCTGCGTTATTATACAGTTTGCTGTCAATTAATAGTAAATTAATTCTTGCAATTAACTTTATCAAAGCGAACGCAAGTAATTTGTGTAGATATTTATAACAGAATCGAAGGAGAATAAGAGATGAAAATTAAATATTTGATTATATATCAAATATATTTTTTGTTTCTTTATTTTATAAATTGAATTTAATTTACCTCCTATTTCTGGTATCGGAATATCGAATAATTTGAACTAGAATCAGAAAATTTATTAATACGTATACTTATAATTGTACACATACATACAGACATACAAACACATATCATGCGTAATATCAAACTATATGTATATAAACAATATAAATATATGTATTGTGCATGATACATACAGACACATACATACATAAACATTTTAATTTTTTAATTTTTATTCAAAGTATAGTAATTGAAGTAGATAAACAGTTGAGTAATATTATACTTTCTTACTAAACTAAGAACAATACAATTAGAACATTTATACAAAAAACACGTTAAAATATGGTTCTATTTATATTGATTTCTTATTTTTGTACAAAAATAATTAAATTCTTGTTTATTCTTTTGCTTAATTTATAACGTATGGAAATATTTTTATACGAAAATATCAAATACCTTTTTAATTTTTGTATAAAGCTGCAGTACTTAAAACTATTTAAATTTGTACAGAATATCATTTTTACATAAAGATTAATTACAAAATTTGTGCTGATATTGAAAAATATGTACAATTAAAAACTTGAAAAAATTAAAAGAAGATATTTGTATTTAAAGCTGCTTAAAATATGCCCAAAGACCTCCTTTTGGTGTCGGTAATATAGTGCCATGAATCATCTTTAAGGGTATTTGCGTTTTCGGGGATAGTCCCAATCTGTATTTTCTCAAAATTATAGCCAAACCTGCCTTTATCTGCAACTGGGCCATTCTCATGCCAACACAGATTCGCGGGCCTTCGCCGAATGGAAGAAACGTGAATTTATCGATGCTGTGTTTCCTCTCCGAGTTGAATCTTTCAGGATCATATGCCTCGGGGTTCTCCCAGTATTGGGGATCCTTATGGAAAGCTGGAACTGGTATTAAAATTTCCATTCCAGGTGGCACGCGACAGACAACTCCATCAGAGCCTTTCAGTTCGCACTCTTCCGTGCAACGCTTCTTCATTACGAATCCTCCGGATAACAATCTGAGTGTTTCATTGAAGACTTGGTCCATATATGTCATCTCTTTTAAGCCTTCATAAGTGATTTCTCCGTTATATTTGTTAAGTACGGATAATACCTCTTTTCGTAATTTCTCCTGTATTTCTGGATGACAAGCCAAATCAAATCCAATGAAACTCATAACAGTGCTGGACGTCTCATAACCATCGATGATGAACGACATAGCGTGACCCGTGACCATTGCAAGGTCGAATTTATCATCTTCTGCTCGTTCCTGTTCGACCATCAAGTGAAGAAAATCATTCCTAGGTATTCCGTCCTTTCTTCTTTGTTCTAAGAGTTCTGCAACTAATGTCCTGAAGAAATTGTCGACGTGCTTTGGGATTAGACTTAGTTTGAAGATTTTATTCAACGATGGAATGAGAAATATGATAGCAAACATAATTGTACTTCGTATAGACGGTTTAAAAATGGCTTGTCCGAGTTTTCTAAAAGATATATCTTTTTTTTCGTCATCGAAGCAGTATCCATCTACGCCGAATCCAGCACCAGCTACTACCTGCGCGGTGTATCTGGAAAATAATGCCTTCATTTCGAATTCTGTCTCGTTGTTGCTCAGCTTTCTGTCCATGTAGTGCTCCATCGTTGTACACACCTTTTTAACGCTTTCGAGCAGAATCTTTAATCGCATGCTGGAAAATGCGTAACTCAACCGTTTTCTGCTGTTTAACCACTTCTCACCGGAAAGGCCGAAGGGATTATATGACAAGAGATCTTCTGTTGTTTGGTCATCAACGTGTAGAGCATTTTCGGCAAAACTTGAAAAATTAGTTTGCAGCACAATCTTCACTAATTCCGGTTCAATGATTATTAACGCTGGTGACGTAAGGTTATAGATCCCAATCATGCTGCGACCTTTGTTGTCATTGTAGATCTTCGAACAAAAATCCGAAATATGCGTCTTCATGCTGATCACCGACAACATGTTGCCGAACCCCGGCAAGGCTCCATCCACACATGGAACTCCACATTTTTGCCAGTACTTGTAATTTCGCGTCAGATAAAAGTAAAGAGCTATGAGCGCTCCGAGAATCAAAGACACTAGTACGATAGTCATGTTACTGTTCTCGGACGAGAAATAACCGCTTGATCGGATAAATGAATGTTGCCTTGACTACGTATCATTCAGGACTGGTCGTGATGTGGCGGTGGTAAATTAAATAACATTGATAAGTCGGGAGAATGAACGAAATTTCAACACAGTAATGATATAGATACATTGCATTGGCGATTTCCAGTCGCCAAATAAATTTTATTACTCCATAATATTATATGTAGCATTTTCTCTCCATTGTAAAATTTTAATCGATCCTCGCAGTCATTGCAAAATGAATATAAAGAATATATTCAATATATTACAAAAATTTTTTAATGATACTTTTTTTACAAATGCGTTCCTTCGTTTTCTATATTTATGACTGCATTGCATGTTTACAAAGTTTTATAATATAAAATATAATTTACATATGTACTTATATAATTCTACATAAAATGGTACATGTTATTAATAATCTGTTACGAAATTAATGCGAGTTGTTAAAAATAATAAAAAGAATAATTAAAATTTTTCATCTAATTCGAATTGTTATTATATATTTTCTGATTTATTTAGACGAAACAATGAGAGATAGGTACTCGAAACTCTAAGAAAGAAATTTCATCAAGATATTATGTTTAACATTTTTAGCATAATAAATTATAAAAAGTAGGGGAGAATGTCCTGAATCGTATCGTGTTCTTTTAAAAAAGAAAATTCTTTTTTAAATGATGTTAAAAATTTGAACGATAATTGATTTAAGATAATTAAAGAGTGTGAAATTAAAAAATATCAAGAGTTTTGTGATTACTTTTGCGGTCTATTGTAAAATTTGTTCCAATCCTTCGAAAGAACCAGTGTCCAAATCGGACCTTTTTTTGGGTTTCCAAATCGGACCTATACAAAAAAACACTTAAAAGACGAGTTAGCCGGCTAATTCATCGAAGGAAAAAAGTTCGCCACAACCTTGTAGTACTAATGATCGACCGACCATATCTGGTCTAAGGAACACCAAATTAATAAAATATCATGTGTCATTAGACTCAGATTGATTTTTTTATTAATTTTAATTCTAATATTTTAAACTGCATTTTAATCTTTGAGTCTTAAATTGCTTGTTTTTACTCAATATTAATTAATAAAAATTAATTAAAATATTTTAAAATTCTATCTAAAAGTCCATAAAAATAGGAAAGATCCGATTTGGAACTCATAGTTCCATTCCAACTATGAGTTCCAAATCGGACAGGAAAATGCATTTTTACATTTTCCATTATAGTTCGGTACAAGTAAGAGATACGTCAAAATGGTTTGAAACAAAAGTGAAGGAAATTAAATAATCTTTCAAACGGCATCATTGGTTTTAAGATCGGACTTTATTTACGCCGTATAGTAAACAAAAATTGCAAATAGATCCGATCTAGACCACTCTCCCCTATACGTTGAAAACATACGCACAAATCCATAAAAAGTTGTTGTACGATTTATAAATTCCAGTAATTTAATATTATTTTTCACGTTTTTCTATCTGTGACATATAAAGTTTTTTATTAAGGTATGTATAGAAAGGTTCAAGACAAAATCGCAATTCAGCACTGCATATGTCATAAAACATTACTGATTTAGCTTCCTGTTCGAAAGATGTACCTTTTTATAAAAATTGCGTTTCGTGCAATGATCATGCACATATAGTTCATCATTTAATCACATTTCACATTTGTTGAAAAATAAATATAAGTAGTACAATCATGTACATTATGTGTGAATCGAAATACATCTTAAAGCAGCATTTTGCACACATTTATGCCATTTTGTATATTACATATTTTAACATTTTTTTAGTTAATTATAAATTTTTTAACTAGAAAGTAAATAAATTTTTTTTAAGTCTTTTTCTTATATCGTTGGAATGTGTTTATTGGAATTGTATCGTTGAAATGGAATTTTTTTTAAAGCACATAATAATAATGACACGACACAACTTGTGAAAAATTTTATTAACTTAAATAAAAAACAGTATAAAATTTATAGTAATTTTAAATAAATAGTGGAACAAACTTGATTTACTTTAACTATTTTGTATTAGATGTACAAATTAATTCTCGGTCTTTTTTTTATCAATTTTGACCTCCTTGACTGTTTTAGACGATAGGAAACGTCTTGCTGGGTTACTCCAAGCGTATATGCAAGTTCTAATTGCGTTTAGCAAGAATTTTCATTTAAAATTTCCTCCAACTCTAAGTTTTTCACTTTTTTTTAGTTTACGTTTACTTTTTTTGGTTTGTTCCACAAGATCAAAATTTTTCTTTCGAAACTGTTGGAACTATTCTTTACACGTTCTGTACGGTACAGCATTTTCGCATAAAACTGAACAAATCATTACTTTTGCACCAGCCGCATTTTTTTTTTAGTTGAAACGCCAAAAAAGAGGCAGCGTCTCAAATGTTACTCTTCAAACGACATCGTATTTACCGCTGATTCTACAAGTTATGTTCACAGGAGGATCAAATATTGTACCATTTAAAAACTGAATATATAAAAAATGGCACTTTAAAATGATTAAAAAGAGGGGGGGGGGCTTCAACTTAAACTTCTGAAGTCGCTGAAAGATAGGGACCGAGAATTAATTTGTACACCTAATACTAAAACAATAGTCAATGTTAGCGACAGAGAATTTATTATAGAATGTACAAAAATACTTTGAAAATATATTATGATTTCAAAAATTTTATATTTTTAATTTTTAATAAACTTTTAAAGTAGACAAAATTGAGTAATATTATACTTTCTTACTAAACTAAGAACTTAAAATTATAATATTTATACACAAAAAACACGTTAAAAATGGTTCTATTTAAATTGATTTCTTATTTTTGTAAAAAAAATAATTAAATTCTTGTTTATTATTTTCTGCTTAATTCATAACTCATGAAAATATTTTTATAGGAAAACACCAAATACTTTTCTAATTTTTGTATAAAGCTGCAGTACTTAAAACTATCCAAATTTGTACAGAATATCATTTTTACATAAAGATTAATTACAAACTTTTGTGGTGACATTAAAAAATATGTATACAATTAAAAATTTGAAAAAATTAAAAGAAGATATTTGTACTTAAAGCTGCTTAAAATATGCCCAAAGACCTCCTTTTGGTGTCGGTAATATAGCGCTAGGAATCATCTTTAAGGGTATTTGCGTTTTCGGAGATAGTTCCAATCTGTATTTTCTCAAAATTATAGCCAAACCTGCCTTTATCTGCAATTGGGCCATTCTCATGCCCACACAGATTCGCGGGCCTTCACCAAATGGGAGAAACGTAAATTTATCGATGCTGTGTTTCCTCTCGGAGTTGAATCTTTCAGGATCAAATTCCTCAGGATTCTCCCAGTATTGGGGATCGTTATGGAAAGCATGAACTGGTATTAGAATTTCCATTCCAGGTGACACGCGACAGACAACACCGTCGGATCCTTTTAGTTCAAACTCTTCTGTGCACCGTTTCTTCATCAGCAGTGCTGCAGGTACCAACCTCATACTTTCATTGATTACCTGATCCATGTATGTCATCTCCTTCAAGCTTTCATATGTGATTTCACTACCGTATTTGTTGAGCACAGATACCACTTCCTGGCGTAATTTCTCTTGACTTTTTGTGTAACGGGCCAAATAAAATCCAACAAAACTCATAACAGTGCTGGACGTTTCATAGCCATCGAGGAAGAATGATATAGCCTGACCCGTAAGCATTACGTCATCGAATTTGTCGCCCTCCGCTCGCTCCAGTTCAGCCATTAAATGAAGAAAATCATTCCTAGATATTCCGTCCTTTCTCCTTTGCTCCATGAGTTCTGCAACTAATGTTCTAAAGAAATTGTCAACGTGCTTCGGGAGTAGTCTTAGTTTCAAGATTTTATTTAACGATGGAATAAGAAATACGAGAACGAACGTAATTATAGTTCGTGTAGACGGTTTGAAAATAGTTTGTCCGAGTTTTCTGAAAGATATATCTTTTTTTTCGTCATCGAAGCAATATCCATCCACGCCGAATCCAGCACCAGCTATTACCTGAGCAGAGTATCTGGAAAATAAGGCCTTCAGTTCGAACTCCGTCTCGTTGTTGCTCAGCTTTTTGTCCATGTAGTGCTCCATCGTTGTACACACCTCTTTAACGCTTTCGAGCAGAATCTTTAATCGCATGCTGGAAAATGCGTAAGTCAATCGTTTTCTGCTATTTAACCACTTCTCACCGGAAAGACCGAAAGGATTATACGACAAGAGGGGATCAGTTTCGAAATCAATATGAATAGCATTTTCGGCAAAACTTGAAAAATTGGTTTGCAACACCACTTTCACTAGTGTCGGTTCGATGATCATCAATGCCGGTGACGTAAAGTCATAGATCCCAACCATGCTACGTCCCTTGTTATCCATGTAGATCTTGGAACAGAAATCAGCGATATGCGTCTTCATGCTGATCACCGACAACATGTTACCGAACCCCGGCAAGGCTCCATCCACACATGGAACTCCACGTTTTTGCCAGTACTTGTAATTTCGTGTTAGATAAAAGTAAAGGACTGTTAGCGCCCCGAGAATCAAAGTCACTAGCACAACAGTCATGTTGCTTTTCTCGTGTGATGAGTATGTAACGTTTGGTCGGATAAATCGATGTGACCGTGACCACGTATCATCCGCGACTGATCGTGATGCAGCAAATTTGTTGAGGCTACAGTACATTGATAATATCAATATAACGAGCGAGACTGAATAATAAAATTCTTTAATGATTCTTATCTTAATATCTTATCTAACTTATCTTAATAAAATAAATATCTTAATGATTCTTTTTTTACAAATGCGTTCCTTCGTTTTCTATATTTATGTCTGCATTGCATGCTTACAAAGTTTTATAATATAAAATATAATTTATATATGTACTTATTATTCTACATCCAATGGTACATGTTATTAATAATCTGTTACGAAAATAATGCGAGTTGTTAAAAATAATAAAAAGAATAATTAAAATTTTTCATCTAATTCGAATTGTTATTATATATTTTCTGATTTATTTAAACGAAATAATGAGAGATAGGTACTCGAAAATCTAAGAAAGAAATTTTATTAAGGTATTGGGTGCTTTCCAGCAAGGACAGAATCAGACACTGTGTAACACAAAAAATCGTTTCATCCTTGTTTAACATAGGCAAACAATAAGGATGTAATGATTCACTGTGTTACACTATGTCTACTTGTGTCGTAGCTGGAAAGCACCCATTATGTTTAACATTTTTAGCATAATAAATTATAAATAGTAGGCGAGAATGTCCTGAATCGGACGTTTTCTTTTAAAAAAGAAAATCCTTATAAGACGTTAAAAATTAAACGATAATTGATTTAAGATAATTAAAGAGTGTGAAATTAAAAAATATCAAAAGTTTTGTGATTACTTTTGCGGTTTATTGTAAAATTTGTTCCAATCCTTCGAAAGAACCAGTGTCCACATCGGACCTTTTTTTTGGGTTTCCAAATCGGACCTATACAAAAAAACACTTAAAAGACGAGTTAGCCGGCTAATTCATCGAAGGAAGAAAGTTCGCCACAACCTTGTAGTACTAATGATCGACCGATCATATCTGGTCTAAGGAACACCAAATTAATAAAATATCATGTGTCATTAGACTCAGATTGATTTTTTTATTAATTTTAATTCTAATATTTTAAACTGCATTTTAATCTTTGAGTCTTAAATTGCTTGTTTTTACTCAATATTAATTAATAAAAATTAATTAAAATATTTTAAAATTCTATCTAAAAGTCCATAAAAATAGGAAAGGTCCGATTTGGAACTCATAGTTCCATTCCAACTATGAGTACCAAATCGGACAGGAAAATGCATTTTTATATTTTCCATTATAGTTCGGTACAAGTAAGAGATACGTCAAAATGGTCTAAAGCAAAAGTGAAGGAAATTAAATAATCTTTCAAACGGCATCATTGGTTTTCTGATTGGACTTTATTTACGCCTTATAGAGAACAAAAACTGGAAATAGGTCCGATCTAGACCACTCTCCCTTATACGTTGAAAACATACGCACAAGTCCATAAAAAGTTGTTATACGATTTATAAATTCTAGTAATTTTATATTATTTTTTATTTTTCACGTTTTTCTATGTGTGACATTAAAGTTTTTTATTAAGGTACATATGAAAGGGTGAAGATAAATCACAATTCAGCACTGCATATGTCATACAGCATTAGAGTATCATATTAGTGTATCATCTGAATTAACAAGTAGAGTTCTATGTATATTTGTTCAACGCATGCAAAATAGTTCTACAGCAAATACTTTTCAATGATTACAGACGAAAAAAGAAATTATTACATTACATATTTACTGTCAATTAACAGTAAATTAATTCTTATAATGAACGTTATTGAAACGACTGCAAGTGATTTATGAAGGTGTCCAGTATTGAAAATAGAGATAAAAAAGTAAAAATTTAATATTTGATTATATTAAATATATTTTTGTGTCACTCTCTCTCTCTCTTTTGTATTTTAAAAGCCATTGCTGGAATTAGTTGATCAAATTATTTGAACATGAATCAAAAAGCTGATTAATATATGTCCCTAAAATTATATACATACATACAGTAATACATGCATTAATAATCTACTATGAGATTAATGCGAATTCTTAAAAATATATATATATTGCACATGCCATTAAATCATACCTATATACAATATATTTTTGTCAATCATTAATTAATTTAAGTTTTCCCGCGAAAAAAAAAATATATAGATTTAATGTAATTAAATATAAATTTTATTAAAATTTAATATAGTACTAAATAAGATCTTAATAACGATTTTAATAAATTTGGTTTTATTAAAACCTTATATAGATTTAATTTGAACTATATAATGATCCATATTAAGTTATATAATATTAAAACATATTAATTCAACTTATTTAAAACTTGGTAAGATTTAATTAAATTATATAAATTGGACTTTAATAAGATATAATAAGAACTTATTAAACTTAAATAAGTTGTTAATATAAACTATATTAAAAATATATACATGTTCTCATTTATTTATAAGGTTATATATAAAAGACTTTATAAATTCTTTTTATATGAATTTTGATGAAATTCTTATAAAGAACTTATAAGACTTTTACTTAGAATATATTAACTTTTTTTTGCGGAGTTTTTCGTGAAATTGACGTAAAGTTAATTGCACGGTATTTATAAATATCTGTTTGCGTAAAATATACCTAGAAGACGCTAATTTTTTAGCAGATCATTCTTTGATGCAAACGTATTTTCCCTATGCTACGATCAACAACATTAAAGTGTATGTATTGTACTTCAGTGCATTCAAAGTGTCACACGATTGTCACGCATTCTGATGATTCATATATGCAGAATCGCTGATATCCTTTTTGCAAATGCGTTTGTGATTGCCATTATGAGACAGATGGAATAAAATATAAGAGTGTGGGAGGAGAAAAGGTGTGAAAAATAACAATATATTTTATTCATCGAAATGTATCTTATTTAATTGTGTTATTTGTTATAAATGCTACTTGCGTAATTTATCATTCCCGGATTAATTATATCCAGGGTACAAATGGCATGTTCCGTGCGCTATTTTGTAGCTTTCTGTTCAAAAGATGTACTTTTTTATTAAAATTGCGTTTCGTGCAATGTTCATGCACATATAATTTATCATTTAATCATGTTTCACATTTATTGAAAAATAAAAATGAATAGTATCATGTATTATACATTATGTGTGAATCGAAATACATCTTTTAAGAAGTATTTTGCACACATTTATGCCATTTTGTTAAAAAATGTATTATATATTTTAACATTTTTTTTTTTAGTTAATTGTATTTATATCAATTCTTTAACTAAAAAGTAAATACATTTCTTTAAGTCTTTTTTTAAAGCTATATACTTAAATAAAGGTGGCACTTTAAAATAACTAAAAAGGGGGGGGGACTTCAACTTAAACGGTTCTTGAGGTTGCTGAAAGGTAGGAACCGAGAATTAATTTGTATGCCTAATACTAAAACAATAGTCACTGTTAGCAACAGAGAATTTACTATTGCTTGTACAAAAATACTTTGAAAATATATGATTTCAAAAATTTTAATTTTTTAATTTTTATTCAAAATAATTGAAATAATTGAAGTAGATAAAATTGAGTAATATTATATTTTCTTACTAAACTAAGAACTAACAATTATAACATTTATACAAAAAACACATTAAAACATGGTTCTATTTATATTGATTTCTTATTTTTGTACAAAAATAATTAAATTCTTGTTTATTCTCTTGCTTAATTTATAAGTCATGGAAATATTCTTATACGAAAATACCAAATACCTTTCTAATTTTTGTATAAAGCTGCAGTACTTAAAACTATCTAAATTTGTACAGAATATCATTTTTACATAAAGATTAATTACAAAATTTGTGATGATATTGAAAAATATGTACAATTAAAAACTTGAAAAAATTAAAAGAAATTTGTATTTAAAGCTGCTTAAAATATGCCCAGAGACCTCCTTTTGGTGTCGGTAATATAGTGCCAGGAATCATCTTTAATGGTATTTGCGTTTTCGGGGATAGTTCAAATCTGTATTTTCTCAAAATTATAGCCAAACCTGCCTTTATCTGCAACTGGGCCATTCTCATGCCCACACAGATTCGCGGGCCTTCACCGAATGGGAGAAACGTAAATTTATCGATGCTGTGTTTCCTCTCGGAGTTGAATCTTTCAGGATCAAATTCCTCAGGATTCTCCCAATATTGGGGATCATTATGGAAAGCATAAACTGGTATTAGAATTTTCGTTTCAGGTGACACGCGACAAACAACTCCGTCGGATCCTTTAAGTTCAAACTCTTCTGTGCACTGTTTCCTCATCAGCAATGCTGCAGGTACCAACCTCATAGTTTCATTTATTACCTGATCCATGTATGTCATCTCCCTCAAGCCTTCATATGTGATTTCACTACCGTATTTGTTGAACATAGATACCACTTCCTGGCGTAATTTCTCTTGAATTTTTGTGTAACGGGCCAAATAAAATCCAACAAAGCTCATAACAGTGCTGGATGTTTCATAGCCATCGAGAAAGAATGACATAGCCTGACCCGTAAGCATTACATCATCGAATTTGTCGCCCTCCGCTCGCTCCAGTTCAGCCATCAAATGAAGAAAATCATTCCTAGGTATCCCATCCTTTCTCCTTTGTTCCATGAGTTCTGCAACTAATCTTCTAAAGAAATTGTCAACGTGCTTCGGGATTAGACTTAGTTTCAAGATTTTATTTAACGATGGAATAAGAAATACGAGAGCGAACGTAATTATACTTCGTGTAGACGGTTTGAAAATGGATTGTCCGAGTTTTCTAAAAGATATATCTTTTTTTTCGTCTTCGAAGCAGTATCCATCTACGCCGAATCCAGCACCAGCTACTACCTGCGCGGTGTATCTGGAAAATAATGCCTTCATTTCGAATTCTGTCTCGTTGTTGCTCAGCTTTCTATCCATGTAGTTCTCCATCGTCGCGCACACCTCTTTAACGCTTTCGAGCAGAATCTTTAATCGCTTGCTCGAAAATGCGTAAGTCAATCGTTTTCTGCTGTTTAACCACTTCTCACCGGAAAGAACGAAAGGATTATAAGACAAGAGGTGGTCAGTTTCGACATCAACATGAACAGCATTTTCGGCAAAACTTGAAAAATTGGTTTGCAGCACCACTTTCACTAGTGTCGGTTCGATGATCATTAATGCCGGTGACGTAAAGTCATAGATCCCAACCATGCTGCGACCTTTGTTATCCTTGTAAATCTTGGAACAGAAATCAGCGATATGCGTTTTCATGCTAATCACCGACAACATGTTACCGAACCCCGGCAAGGCTCCATCCACACATGGAACTCCACGTTTTTGCCAGTACTTGTAATTTCGTGTTAGATAAAAGTAAAGAGCTGTTAGCGCCCCGAGAATCAAAGTCACTAGCACAACAGTCATGTTGCTTTTCTCGTATGATGAGTATGTAACGTTTGGTCGGATAAATCGATGTGACCCTGGCTACGTATCATCCGCGACTGGTCGTGATGTAGCAAAATTGTTGACCTACAGTACATTGATAATGTCAATTTAACGAGCGAGACTGAATAATAAAATTCTTGAATGATTCTTTTTTTACAGATGCGTACTTCGAATTCCTTCGTTTTCTATGTTTATGTCTGCATTACATGCTTACAATGTTTTATAACGTTAAATATAATTAATATATTGTACTTATAATTGTATATATATAATTGTTATTAACAATTTATGTAACATGTTATTTACAATTTGCTACGATATTAATGAAAATTATTGAAAATAACATAAAGAAATTAAAATCTTTCATCTAATTCAATTTGTTGTTATTTATTTTCTGAATTATTGATACAAAATTGTGAGAGGTAAGTATTTGAAAATCTAAGAAAAAATTTTATCAAGATATTAAAACTTTTAAAATTATAAATCATAAAAAGTAAACGTTGAAAACATACGCACAAGTCTATGAAAAGTTGTTATACAATATAAATTCCAGTAATTTAACATTATCTTTCACGCTTTCCTATCTTTGACGTATAAAATTTTTTATTAAGACGTATGGAAATGGTCAAGATAAATCGCAATTCAGCACTGCATATGTCACACAACAACAGAGTATCATTACTGAAACACATTACTGGTTGTATAATATACCATCTCAAGTGACAAGTAGGATTCTATGTGTATTTGTTGGATGCTTGCAAAATAGTTCCACGTCAAATATTTTTCAATGATAACAGATGAAGAAAGAAATTGTTTTTTACGTTACGTATTTGCTCTCAAACAGTAGATTAATTCTCGTAAATAACGTTATTAAAGCGCTTAAATGTTTTATATGGGTGTTTAGTATAAAAATGGATAAAATGAGGTAAAAATTTAATATTTAATTATTTATATTTTTTGTGTCTTTCTTATATTTTGAAGATGTGAATTTAACTTGCCCGCCATTGCTGGAATCAGTAGATCGAATAAAAGGACCTAGAATTGGAAAGCTGATTAATATATGTCCCTAAAATTATATAGGTATATAGTGGTACATGTCATTAATAATTTGCTACAAGCTTAATGCAAGTTATTAAAAAAAAATATTTATATATATACAAAAATATATATTTTTTTAGTACAAATTAGTTCGGTCAGTTTTTCAAAAGATGACTCGCTTCCAAAGACGAGTCATTTTTTCGAGATGGAATACGAAAATTGTCTGAAAGATGGGAAAAAGTAGTAGCCAGCGATGGACAAATACTTTAATTAACCTGTTTATTCATTTTGTTTTGAAATAAATGCATTTTTGAACTCAAAAAACGGACTACAACAAACGGAAACACAAA